CATGTGTCAACGTCGACAGGTGCACTTATTGTTGCTTGACAATTATTTTTACTTTTCGGCACTCAGTGCGGATAAGGCCTGTATCCGCACTGAGTGCGGAAAAGTGCAACTTTGAGAACCGAAATGCGTGCGGAAAAGTACTACTTTGCGCACGCTCGTAGGAAATAGTTATTTTCCTAACAAGTGCGCAAAGTGTTACTTTTCCGCACGCAAACACAGTTATACGAACGACGCGAAGCGGAGTTCGGATACGTGTTTGCGTGCGGAAAAGACACTTTGCGCACGTGTTAGGAACAAAATTTTTCCTACGAGCTTCATATCAGGTAGGTAACAACAAAAATTAAAAAAAAAAAACGATAATTTGTTTAATTATTTTTAATTAACTTGAAGGGAACCTATGCATTTATCAAAAAATTACATAACAAAAAAAAAATATAACAGAAAATCATCGTCAGAGCTCTTCATCTTAAAGCGTTTAATGGCGATTTCCATTTGTCATCAGTGCCGCACTGAGTGCATCCGCAACTTTTTCTAAAAGCATGTAACATGTAAGGATAAGGATACATTTTTTTGCCCTGTTTCGACAAATGGAAAATGCTATAAATTTGATGAGAAAGTTTGTAGATACTTGCATATAAATAGAAAACAAATCTGACAATGTGTTGAAGTTAATTAAATTTGGTGTTTGTAGGTATAGATGTTAGCTGGTACAGGAACAGAGGAAAAATTTGTCATCATGTGTCAGAGTCGACAGGTGTACTTATTGTTGCTTGACAATTATTTTTACTTTTCGGCACTCAGTGCGGATAAGGCCTGTATCCGCACTGAGTGCGGAAAAGTGCAACTTTGAGAACCGAAATGCGTGCGGAAAAGTACTACTTTGCGCACGCTCGTAGGAAAAATATATTTCCGCACTCGGCTGCTTCACCGAACTCCGCTACGCGTCGTTCAGTGAACGGCATCCGTATTCTGGGTAGTGAATGAATGAGATGGAGCCGTCACGCCTGAATGGTTAACGCTCATTCGGTTGGATACAGTCGACTCGAATCGAGTTCAGCCATGCGAGAGAGGAAAACAGACAAAACAGTCACCAGTGCGAGAGAGTGAAAAAGCGCGATGGATATTCAATCAAGATTCAAGAATCCCTCCAGAGAATCCCAAGGATGATACACACACACACACACACTCACACTACTACAGGATGGCCTATCCTCGTAAGGCTTGTGTGTTAACCTGGTAACTGTAACAAATCCCTCCCTTCCCCCCACACATATCAGTTGTGACGTGAGTTCTGACGTAGACAGGATGTTATTTCTCGCCTTGACGTAGGCTGTTTAAACAGCCGACGACTTAGTTATGACGTCGGCAAAATGAGGACGATAAGCACTCATGAGTGTGTATTCTCCTTGAGAGAATACCCATAAAACAAATTTCGTCGACGTTGCTGATATCATGAGCAATCATGGCAAAATATTAATTGCTATTTGCTTGTAATTAGGTTGTCTGTAATCAAGGATAATACGCAATGCTACTAACACGATAGCCTATCCTCATAAGGTCTATGTAGCTCAAATCTCAAGCAACCCACCATGCGAAAGCACCAGTGACGACGTAGCAGCGTGTTGTTTTTTGCTTTGTCATAGGGTGTTTGCACCTTGCACCACAGGTTATGAATCCGCGGGCTTTGGCTTTATGTATACTTGGTTTAACTACATTTAACATTCTAATTATGATGAAAAATATTATTTAATTTTGATTAACATAAATAAGCAAAGAGAAAGATGCAAACGAGATCTGAAAAGAGTTGTTCTACTTGTGTTTGCAGTGTTTGCACCGATAATTTTAAGTGAGGCTTAACGATAATCAACGTCTAGGGCCGGTTTCTCGAGTCATCTCCGGGTTGGTTTTAACTCCAGGGTAGGTAAGCGTGTCCAGTTGCTATGTTTACCAAACGTCACTCTAAGCGTTGATTATCGTTAAACCTTCTTAAAAATGATCGGTGCAAAGCAAACACAAGTAAAACAACTCTTTTCAGATCTCGATTCCATCTTTCTCTTTACTTATTATGTTAATGAAAATTAAATAATATTTTCCAACATAAATTTAAATTCTACGAACGCTGGCGCAAACAGCTGACGACTTAGTTAATGACGTCGGCAAGGGTGCTACACCATATGACCGCGATTACTAAAAACGAGGCCGATAAGCAATCCTGTAGTAGTGTATATTATCCTTGGTCTGTAATGAAAAACGGATGACGTCATCAGGTGATTCTTCACTAATCACTATAAAATGTGTACTGTGTCACTATTCTGTTGTGTGGCCTTTAAGCACACACGTGGCTCACACCCAAGGATAATACACACTACTATTACAGGATAGCCTATGCCAAAGCACCAGTAATAATGTAGGCAGCATGTCGTTTCTTGCCAAGGATAATGCATACTACTAAATTTTGCTTATCTGCCTCGTTTTTGTTAATCGCGGTCATATTGGTGTATCACCATTGCCGACGTCATTAACTAAGTCGTCAGCTGTTTGCGCTAGCGGTCGTAGTTTAGAATTTAAATTTATGATGAAAAATATTATTCAGTTTTGATTAACATAATAAGCAAAGAGGAAGATGCAAACAAGATATAAAAAAAAGAGTTCTTTTAGGGCCCGTTACTCAATAGCGAGTCACCTCTGTGTTAGTTTTAGCTCCAGGGTAAGCGTATCTAGTTGCTATGTTTACCCTGCTGTGGTGGGTGGGGCGCATTCACGATTGGACAACCCTTGTTATATTCTACCTAGGTAAATTTTACTCGGCTAGTTAGAGTGACTTATACAGGTGCCATCGACACCTGTCCAACCGCTGCTATAGAGGTCATATTAGAGTTAGATATCATCCCTCTGCACATTGCAGTGAAGAGGGAGGCCTACATGGAGGCCTCAAGGGTTATACGGTCTCTAAACCTAATGGAAGGGGACCTTGTTGGACTTATGAGCGTCATTAAAGAATGCCATGGTACACCAACAAAACCGGTGGACATCATGCCACCCAGATACGAATTTAATCACCTTTTTAGTGTGACCGCAGAAGGCCGCAAACCGCAAAAGTGACAAGACCGTAAGTACATAAATTCCCAAACGGTTCATCCATCTGGTACACAGATGGATCGAAAACAGAAGAAGGGGTCGGAGTGGGCGTATATGGTCCAAACTGCAGGCTATCGGTATCCTTAGGAAAAAGCCCCACCATATTCCAAGCGGAAACGTACGCAATAGAACTCTGCGCCAGAAAGTGTCTTGAAATAGACCTACGAGGTGCAAGAATCTTCATCAATTCTGACAGTTAGGCAGCACTTAAGGCTCTTAACAGCTTTGTCACTAAGTCCAGACTAGTCTGGGACTGTCAGCAACTTCTAAAGCAACTGGCGAACTGCAATAGAGTCACTCTAGCATGGGTACCAGGGCACCAAAACATAGAAAGAAATGAGATAGCGGACCGGCTTGCAAGAGAAGGCGCCGCGTCACCATTCCTCCGTCCAGAACCCTTCTTTGGCCTGACAAAAAGCCATGTAAGGACCGAACTCAAAAAATCGGTAGAGGCACAACAACAGGCCTCCCATTGGAACAATACTCCAGGACTTAGACAGGCGAAGCAATTCATCTCGCCAAAGTCAACAAAGGCAAAGGAACTACTCGATTTCAGCAACCCAGACTTAAGGCTCATAACGGGTCTCCTCACCGGCCACTACCCTCTTGGCTACCATCACCATATGAAAAAGATGGGTAAAGCTGAATCAGACCTTTATTGCCGCTTCTGCAAAGAAGCATCCGAACATATACTCTACAAATGCGAAGCATTATGTCACAGAAGACTCATTCATCTGGAGCAGACACATTTGACTGCTGCGGATATTAAACGAACCAATCCCGGAAAAATCGTGAGATTCGCGAAAAGTCTCAACCTGGGAACCTACTAGAAAAAGGGGAAGCACAATAGATAGTAGATCTATTCAGATCGCAGTGCAGAAAGGTCCATCACCTAAACGCCCCTAACACAATCTAATCTAATCAATCTGGAGTGACTTAACTGGATTAAGAAATGCCCCAACCAAGGTGGAATTATGACACGTTTATTTCTTCATTTTTTTTGTGAATTGGATTTGTATTTGATCATCGATCCAGCTAGCTAACTTTTTTAAAAACCTTGTGATGGGGTCTCAGAATTAAAAAAAAAACACCATGAAACTATCGCGCATGTCGAGCAAATTTCACATATTGTTGCTGATTGTGAACAGTGTATTTACCGGGTTGAAGCATTCCGATTTTTGAACGACAAGGATGATTCACCGGCCCATAGAATGTTCATTATTGTAGTAAGACCAAGTATGCATAAAGCAAAAACCCGCGAAATTATTACCACTTTAGTGCAAACACCTTACGTCAAGGCAGACGAGAAACGACACGCTGTACGTCATCATTGGTGCTTCCGCCACTTTCGCACGGTGGGGGGCTTGAGATTTGAAATACACAGGCCTTATGAGGATAGGCTATAGTAGTAGTAGTGTGTATTATCCTTGGGTGCTAGTGCGGTGTTCGTGTAATGCAGGGTTATATCACGTGATGAAAGTGTACCATCTTTAGAATATTCGGGCATCAAATTATTACCAAATGCTCAAACGCAAAAGTGTATACCAAACTCCTACCAACTTACGACACTGTACCATAGGTAAGTTCTGAATGGTAGAAAGTGTCGACACTTTTTACACTATTGACACTGTGGCGTTTGTTAATGGGTAGGAGTAAGTTTGGTGTACACTTAATTTGCGTTTGGAAATAATTTGGTGCCCGAATGGTGTAAAGTTGGTGAGACACCGTTTACTCGGTACAAAGTGATAGTGTATTCGGTGTTAAACCGCCGATTACACCTCCATCACGTGATATAACATATAACACTGCACTACACGAACACCGCACTACCACTGCATTACATGCCATTCCGAACTCAACTGCTGATTCCGAATTCACCTAAGCCGTAGATTTGACAGTAAATTGACAATTGAAGACTTATGCCATATGTCATCGACTGCATGGTACGCTTTGAGGTTATGTGCAAAGTTTGTGTTTTGGTTTTGGTTTTCAAAAATGAAAACTTGAAAAATTAATTTTTTTTTTTACTTAAACTTTCTTATAGAACACTTATTATCAATAATATCAGCCATTTGAATAATATAATGGCGGAGACAACTGAAAATCCAACATCAAGTACTGCAGAAGAAGATGTGATTCCTGGTTACAAAACTTTGGGTGATTTCACAAGGGTAAGGCAATTTTTACTGCTTGATAAGATGTTCGATATCAAGATACCTGATACCTACTTCTATATCTGAGCTGCTGTATAACATTGAGGCGAAGATCAGGTCCCCGAGTGCCAGCATATTTGTGAACTGTCCTGTCCTACATCCTACCTACAGAACTCACATGTTTGTAAGGTCCTGCATACTTTACAGTATTATACAGTGAGCACTTAAAGGTTGGAATAAAATATACAGGGTAATATTTTTCAAAAAACCTCGGACCCGTCAATTTTTGATTTTATTGGCCGTTTTTATGATGATAATACCATATATACACCATACAGGACTACTCAGAATTACAAAACGACATTGACTCCCTGTCTTCTTGGTGTATCACAAATAAACTTCCGCTAAATATTAATAAATGCCAATCTTTGACTATTTCCAAACTTCATAATGAAGTGAAGTTTGCATATAGACTTGAAAATACCAATCTTTCAAGTTTAGATTCCATACGAGACTTTGGGGTAATTATCGACAGTAAACTAAGTTTTAATAAACATATTGACCAAATCGTTCAAGCTTCTTTGAAAACACTTGGCTTTATTATTAGGTCTACCAAAGATTTCACAAATACGGAGAGCTTGATTGCCTTGTACCTACAACTCATTGATAAAATCAAAATTACAATATGCAATATCTTTGGGAAAATTGAATAACATTTCTGAAACTGCTGTCATAAGACCTGGCTATAATTTTGTGTTTTTCATTAAGTAGGTACTAGATTATTTATTAGATAAGTAAGTAATTTTTAGGTTGTAGTGATTTTTCTTTTCTTTTTTTTTCCGTAAGCGCGATAGTAAACGTGTAAAAAGACTTATCTCTAAATACAATTACAAAAATTTTAAATATCAAAATAAGCACATACAGGTGTTAAGTCATCTAGGTGCTTTAGTTAGTTATATATAATCAGGCCTATGATGTATCATTTTCTGTTATTTTAACAGCAACGTTAAGTTATCTGTCACTGTTTATTCTACACGTAAAAATAGAGACAGGTATAGATTTTGAGCTATAACACAACTGTTAAAATAACAGGAGAGGATACATCATAGGCCTGAATATTAGTATTATAACATAAATTTAATGTAACAATATTTGTAACTATTTTGAAATAAATAAACTTGAAACTTGAAACTTGCAGCTCTGATATGGTTTCCTTATTATGATGTACATGTTGACAGGCTCGAATATGTCCAGCGCAGATTTCTCAAGTACCTAAGCTTTAAGCAGGATGGCATCTACCCTCCACGGGGATATGACCACAAATAATTACTAGAAAGATTTAACTTTTTATCACTTAAGCAAAGTACAATTCTTGCCAGTCAATTGTTCATTTTCAAAATATGCAATAATTTAATTGATTCGGCTGAAATATTAAATTACCTCAATTTTTTGGTTCCCGCAGCAAACACCCGAACTCACCATAAATTTTATCTGGAAAACTGTCATACTAATCTTGCCAGAAATGCGCCTATATATAGAGCCTGCTCATGGCATAATCAATTGATACCCATTATTCTTGAGTTGGATCTTTTCAATGGTACTGTAAAGATAAAAAATGCTCTCCTGAATTAAATTGCTCTAGTAATTGTTTTAATTAATTATTGAATCTTGCATTTTTGTGGAGTATCGCTGATTAGCTTGGGGTTAACTTTTTGTCCTGGGGTTTTGCTGAGGGAAGCTGTTGATACTACTTAATATACTTAATTTACATCTGTTTTCTCTCGATTGTTAATTACAAACTATAGTTAGTTACTTCATGAATTTGTATATGAAGCATATGTCAAAACCTAGTTTTAAGTTTACAATAGCATTTATCTAGTCTTTAATTTGAAATTATTATAATTGTCTTGTTATTGGGTTTATCCTGTTAGACAATAAATAAATAAATAAATTAAAAAAAAAAACTAATAAATATACAGGATGACCCGAAAACAAGTTATGACAGCTAACTTTATTTTTTTAAATGAAAACACCAATTTTTTATTTCATTTTTAAATTCTACATTAAATTCTGAACACATTTCATGCATCATGGCCTATACCTATCTTTAACTGTTTCGGGAATATTGACAGTTGAAAATTGACTTTTTTTGCAACTTTGACAGGCTGTAGAATCTAAACTGTTACATTCCTATCTCAAATTTTTATAAACTATCATCTGATATCAACTTTGAATTTAATCCATGATTAAAAATTCCAATTAAATTTAATCTCCAGTTAAATTGAAAGTTGGTATCAAAATGATAGTTTATAAAAACCTGAGATAGGAATGTAAAATCGGTTTTGCTCTAAACTTAACCGTTTAGGTTCTACAGCCTGTCAAAGTTGCGAAAAAGTCAATTTTCAACTGTCAATATTTCCGAAACAGTTGAAGATAGGTATATGACATGATACATGCAATAGGTTCAGAATTTAACGTAGAATTTGAAAATAAAATACAAAATCAGTGTTTTCATTCAAAAAAATAAAGTTAGCTGTCATAACTTATTTTTGAGTCACCCTGTATACGTGGTATTATCATCAAAAAAACGGCCACTAAAATCAAAAATTGACGTGTCCGAGGTTTTTTTAAAAATATCCACCCTGTATATTTTATAGATTTTATTCCAACCTTTACGTGCTCAATCAATCAATCAATCAAAATATACTTTATTGTCCGAAAAACAAAAATAATTTTCCATTGACAAAGCTTTAGTTCCTAAATACTAGAGTAAAACATTTAAACAAGTGACTAAATAACGTAATTACAACAGTCAAAATAAATACATAAAATTAAAAATATCCAATACAGTAGCTAAAAAAAACAAAACACAAAATAAAATTTTTGGTCAACAGCATCTCCTAATATTTATTTATAGTAAAATTTTTATACAAAAAATACAAACTATGTTATCCTAAACTATTATCATCAAAAAATTCTTGCAAACTATAATATGCTTTTTTACACAAAAGACTTTTCAAAGCGGTTTTAAACCTTCTTAGTTCTTTAATTTCTCTTAGGTGAACAGGTAAATGATTAAATATTTTTTTACTTTTATAAATTACTGAGTTCTGTGTCAAAGAAGACCTCGGGATCGGCAACGAAATTTTTAGTTTCTGTCTAGTTTCGTAGGTTCTTGAGAGATTTATTTGGTCATAAAATTTTTTATGCATTAAAATTGCTGTCTCTAGGATAAAAATACAGTAAACTGTCAAAATTTCATGTCTCAAGAAAAGTGGTCTACAATGATCTCGATATCCTCTTCCACACAGAAATCTTATTGCCCTTTTTTGTACAATAAACACCGAATCAAAAAGTGTCTGCGAGCAACATCCCCAGAAGGCTATGCCATACCGGATGTGAGATTCTACTAAAGAGAAATATACCATTTTGGCAGAATTATGGCCAAGCTCGTTGTATACAGTTCGTATGGCATAGCATCCGCTAGCCAGTCTATTGTTAAGGTTGTTGACATGCGTGGAAAATTTGAGCTGGCTGTCAACATGAATCCCAAGGAACTTGCAGTTGGACCTGTTTTCAATTAATTGAGCATCTAGGTAGAGGTCATTGTAAATAAATTTGAATGTCATGAGGTTGGTTTTTTTTGTATTAAAGCACAGTAAATTTGCGTCACACCATTCCTTAATTGTTTTTAAGTCCCTTGATACTGTGTCCTTTAAAGTTTCAAAATTTTTCCCTCTCCAAGAAAGAGTGTTATCATCTGCAAAAGCTGTGAAGCGACCTTGAATTGGTAGTCTGAATATATCATTCAGATACAGGAAAAATAAAATCGGTCCGAGAACGGACCCTTGGGGAACGCCATTCGATATATTTAAAGTTAGAGATTGTGTAGAACCGATTTTTACATACTGTTCTCTTTTTGAGAAATACGATTTGAACCACATCAAGGAGACTCCTCTAAAGCTGTAAACATGCAATTTTTTTAACATAATTTCATGGTTTACACAGTCAAAGGCCTTAGAGAAGTCACAGAAGACTGTGGCGACCACTTCATCCTCATTCAAAGCTGTGAAAACATGATCTAAAAGATTAAAAATTGCGTCGTGAGTGTTTTTGGATGGTTGAAAACCAAACTGAGAATCACTTAAAATATTAAGTTTATTCAGGTACTCCAACATTCTTCCCTTGACCAATTTCTCTATTACCTTTGAAAGTGTTGAAAGCAATGATATCGGGCGGTAATTTTCGGGCTTGTCAGTTTCACCTCCCTTATGTATTGGAACAACAACTGCTGTTTTAAGAACGTCAGGAAAATTGCCCAATTGAAAGGAGATATTTATACACTCAGCCAACACATAGAGAGCAGTCTCAGGGAGATTCCGAAGTAGTCTAACTGAAATGTTGTCACAGCCGCTTGATTTCGGATTTTTTATGTCCCTAAAAATATTTCTCAGTTCACCGATATTTGTAGGTTGTAGCTCAAATGTACCATCTATTTTTACATCAGACAAATACGAAAGAGGATTTATGTTACTTTTCAGACCCGATTGCAGGTTATTGGCAACTGTACAGTAAAAGTTATTCAGAATATTAGCATCCACATTCACCCTTGACCAGGGATAAGGGTCCCTACCCGTTAACTGGTTCACAAGTTTCCAATTTTCCTTGGTTGAGTTATTTGAATTTTTAATTTGGTCGCGGTAAAACTTGTCTTTTGCAGCTTTGATAAGTTTTTTATATGTTAACCTGTATTTGGCAAAGTAACAGAGAAAACGGGGATTGTTTGTGTGCTTTTTTATTACTTGAAGAGATCTGAAATTTTTCGAGGATATTTTGATACCCTTTGTCACCCAACTCTTTCTGTTGATTTGTTTGATTTTCTGTAGTGGAAAACATTTAAGAAAAGTACCACTTATTTTGTTTTGAAAAGACGCAAGGGGAGATTCTGTGTTTAACACTTCAAACCAGCTCAAACCCTCAGCGGCAGACTCAAACTTATAGTAGTTCTTCCGACTAAA